ATTGTAATTTTTGTCTCTCTTTTCATTAGTCTTAGAAGTTATTTATCAATTTTTTGATTTTTAAAAAAAATCATCTTTAATGTTTATTAATATTCACTTTTCTTTCCCACTTTCTGTTTCATTCTTTCCTTTTCTCTGTCTCAGTGTTTCTCAGCTTCCACACTATTGACATTTTGGGCAAGATAATGTTTTGTGCATCATGGGATGTTTAGTAGCATCTCTAGCTTTGACCTTATGATTCTTTGCTTGTTTGTTTCCAGGCTAATTCCAGGTGTAACCCCCTTTGGATATAAACTTTAGAGATACCCCTGCTTTACTCTAGCTGAAATTTTGTTTTTCTTGCCTTGGGGTATGGATGGATAAATTCCCCCCACCCCACCCCTTTAAGATTACCAGTTAGAAGCTACTTATCTAGCTTCATAGAATGTGTTCTTTTCATTGTGTAGAAGGCAGCATCTGTTAGGTACTTTAGGTTTAGAAAGTAAGTGAAACAAAAATGTTAATGAATTGGGGGTTGGCTCATTAATTCAACAAGTCTAGTAGAGTATTCTGGGAATGGGGGCTTTTATTTTCCTTCCATGGCAGCACTATTCTTGAACCAAATTGTGCTGTTTTGTGCAGTTTGAATTCTATGTATTGTTTTATTGATTGCCACCAAACTATACCATAAAGAATTAAAAGTTTATGTATTAGAGGCATGTTGTAGTCAATGAAAACTCAGACCTGGTTGAGATAATGGCTCTCATTTAAATAGGAAAGGCATTAGGATGTCTCTCTCAAAAGGATATTATTTGTAAAAAAAAAAAAAAAAGATTACCTGTACTTCATGATAAAATTATAGAAATGTCTTTCTTTCTACTCTTGGAAGTTGTTAAGCATTAAGAGTAAGGATGTTGGGGCTGGGGCTATAGCTCAGTGGCAGAGCACTTGCCTAGCATGTGTGAGGCACTGGGTTCGATCCTTAGCACCATATAAAAATGAAACAAAATAAAGGCATGCTATCCATCTACAACTAAAAAAAAAAAAAAAAAAAAAGTAAGGATGTCTAAAAGGAAGTCATTCAGTTCCTTAGTGTTTTTTCTCAGAGGTGCATTTTATTTGGAGAAAAAAAGTGGGCTGATACAAAATGGATTATTCAGAACATCTGAATCTTACAGGAAATTGATCACTTTTGAGTATTTTAGTGACATTATTGGAAGGACCTGGTTGGACACGTAGGCTCAGAGAAGTAAAGGGATCGTTTCTCAGTGTGCTAGTGTGTGTACACTCAATTACTAATTTATTGCCAGCACTGTTTGGACTGTTATTTTCTTCTTTCTGTTTGTTATATTCTTAAACCTTCTACTGGCCTCATAACTGATTAAATGATCAGGTGTCTTTTAGTCACCTACCTTTTCTTTTTGTTATTATGATTGTTTGCTTGTTTGTTTTCAGGCTAATTCCAAGTTTATTGAATATACCTGTCAAATTGTTGTCTCATAACATACTTCACATGTTTTGAGAAGAATATATTTAGTCTTGTTCAAAATAATATGAGTAGTAACTAGTATTTATTGAATACTTACTCTGTGCTAGATGCTTTATTTATGTATTTTTCTAGGTCTCACAGTAACCCTGCCAAGGGATATGGTAATATTTCCAGTTTTACAAATGAAGAAACTGAATCAGGGGCATTAAATAATTTATCCCAAATTTTACATAACTAGTGTGAATGAGAATTCTCAGAACTTTTTTTCTCTACACCATTGGTCTTTATGATCCCTGTACATTGTTTCCTGGTTTTGCTTTGTTTGGACTGTACAACTTTGCTTTTTTGCTTATCTTGTCCCTTCTACTTGGAATGGTATCTCCTTAGCTGGTTCCAGACTTTGCTAATAGCAAACGTACCTATTGTTTAAGCCCCAGCTGAAATGCCATTTTTTTCTAAATTTTCTCTAAAGCCCCATTTGGAAGTAAACTCTGCCTCTTTTGAATTCTTACAATACTTTGTACCTTTCTTCATATTTTTATGTTGCCTTGAGTTTTAATTATTCTTATCCATGTTTTAATTTGTGAACTAGAGAGCCCCCAAATCAGTTTTGAACAAGGTACTTAATATTTGTTGACTTGATATTATAGGCAAAAGCTCATCAAAATTATAGTGAATACTGACGCGATTTTTAAAAAAATTAATATGGTAATGATTAGTATATTTATGATAATTTTTGCTTCTTGTTATTTGGAAAACTTTTTTTCCTGATGGAATAATTAAAGATGGCATACATTAGTTGGTTTGGTGGAAAAGTTCATATTTAGCTTTCTTTCTTTTTTGAAGAAGCCAAATAGTAAAAAATCTGTTTGAGAGAGGTAGAAAGACCTGATGTTTTAATTTTGTTCATATCAGTGGGTCAGATTATGTTCCTTTGGTGCTTTGTTTTTGTAATAGGCTCAATATAATATTGTTATTCAGCAACTGGTTATCATTGAGTATATTGTCTTTTGTATTTATGGCTACCAGGGAGATTTCCAGATTGTTTAGAAAAAGTTTATGCTAAACTAGAATCTATTTTTCTTTGAATATGTTTTAATTTATTACTTCTAGTGTTTTATATGTGGATTGTTTTTTGTTTTTGTTTTACTTGTTCTTAGTTTTCTTCTTAGAGAAAGGCCATTAAACCAAAACGTACGAGGCTGGAAATCTTGTTATCAATAAACCCATTCATATTTTGAAGTAATGTTTAGTTTTAAAGCTCTTTAAAATATGCCATTTTTCTCTTCTATCTTTCTGCTTTAACATTTCATTCAAATAGAAAATAAATTAAAAAAACATAATACTTAACGGTTAAGATGGGGTTTCATTGTAATTGTTGAGTATTGAATTTTATTAAATTCTACAAGTTTTGACTATGTTTTTATAGTTTCTTCCACCTGATTTATTCATATTTGCTATTAATATGGCTGAAGTTTTAAAACATCCTAAGATTCTTTTTCATCCATTTCACTGTACTTTATGAAACTGCTAAGAAAGCAAAAGGTAGACAGGAGAGAGTAACTCAAGTCTTTCAGCTCTTAAACTAAAACAGTAGGTAAAATTTTCACAAATTATGAGGCTTGCAAAAACATTTATTTTAAGGTTTGGAAATTCTGCTGTTTTTATTAAATATCCATTGAAATAATAAATCAGATTAAAGTAATGTTATGTAAAATATTCTGAAGTCATTTGACATTTACCAGAATGTATAAAATGATTAAAGTTTTAGGTCTAGTGATAGAAACTTAAATTCTCCTTTATAAAATTCTTATTAATGCTAAATTATCATAAAAGTAATACAGTGTCATTCAAGGGAACTAGGTTAGTATAACATAATCCTAATAGTAGCAAACTTTATATAGTTTATTATATATTGCTGTTTAGTATAAATTTGTTAGTTCTTGTAACAATCCTATGAGGCAATTCCAGCTGTTCCTCAGTATCTGTGGGGAATTGATTCCAGGAACTCCCAAAGATAAACAAAATCAGTGGGTGCTCAAGTCCTTTATATAAAATGTATATTTGCTTGTAACCTATTCACATCTTCCTGTATTATTTAAGTTATATCTAGATTACTTATAATACCTAATATGATTTAAAGCTATGTAAATAGTTGCTATACTATATTTTAGTGAAGGATGACAAAAACTTTTGTATGTGTTCAGTGTAAATGCATTTTTTCCTCCAAATATTTTCAATCTGAATCCACAGATGTGCAACCCATAGATATGGAAGGTTAATTATATTGTCTTTTTTCTTATTTCATAGATGAGAAAACAGCACAGAAAAATGAAGGAATTTTACCAAAGCCACACAGTATTTGAACTCAGGCAGTCTGGCCTTTGAGTATGCCCTTAATCTTTATTCAGAATTGCTTTTTATCAGGTGGTTAAGAACTTGGGGCTTTGAAGTAAGAGAGATCTGGGCTTAATTTATTGCTGCTAATACTATTGAGATGGGAGTTTGTTTGTTTTTTTTTGTAGTTGTAGAGGGACAGCATTCTTTATTTTGTTTGTTTATTTTATGTGATGCTGAGGATCAACCCCAGTGCCTCACGTGTGCCAGGCAAGCGCTCTGCCACTGAGCTACAGCCCCAGCCCCAGCCTCAGGAGTTTGTTTTTTGATGTCTCTGAGTCAGTATTCGTGATTATAAAACAAAGGTTGTTTTAGGAATAAAGTGAGATAACTTGTGTTAACTGCTATCATGTTGCCTTAACAAGTACTATGCTTGCTCAGTAGATGGGAAGTATCCTAACAAATACTGAAAGGCAAATGAAAAAAGGTCAGCAAAAGAAAATAAACATTGCTAGCATTTTGAGTCACATCTTTCCTGTCTTTAAGCTTGTTTCTTGATTTTATTATGTGTATCTTTTCCTTATGTTTTATATTTTTCTTGTGTATCTTTTCTCATTTGTTTCACATTAAAGTCAGAAAGGCTTAATTTGCTTGTGTCACCTAGCAGTAAGGCAAGCTTGTTTTGTTTCTATGTTAGGGAAAACTTTTTTTTTTTCTTCTTTTAGTAGTAGATAGATGGAGATAGAAGAGGACTATGCACATTTTTTTTCTTTCTAAATAAAAATAGTATTTTTAGATAAAAATGGTATTATCTAAACTCGAAGTAGTAAACACATTTTAAGCTCATTTTAATTTTGAATTAAATATTTTAATAAAAAATTCTGGTATAATGTATTCAACAAAATACAGGATGCTCTAGGTATAGGCAGGAAGGCATGTGCTAGTATTAATTTTATTAGAATAACAAATTTCAATTTCAGAATATTTAACACTGTCAGCTGAAAACACTGTCTGAAAGAAAAGTTCTAATAAATGTAGACTTTGCCTTTTGATGCATGACATTGTAGAAGTGTGACCATATGTTTCATTGTTAAATTATAGGGTCATGGCATAGCAGTAACTAAACTAACTCCCCTTTCTATAGCTTTATTAACAAGTGTGGCTAATGTTCTTTTTTTGTTTTTTTTCCTTTTAGATCCACACATAATGAGCTGGAAAAGAACCGGTGAGTCAGTAATGGGTGTGGTTCTTACTTATATTTAAAAAGCAAACTCATAATTTTACCTGTGAAAATAATGTAACAGTACATATATAACTGTAATTTTATTTTTTAAAATGTAAATCCTGTCATGATTCTGATATATATGTGTTTTTTTTTTCAATAAATGACTAAAAAAGTAAGCTTTTGCTACCTAAACTAGAAGAAATAAACACATTTTAAGCTCATTTGAATTTTTAGTTCATGGGGTAGCTTTATTTTATTTCTGCCTTTCAGAACAGGTTAATCATGATAGGTGGGCTGGGGTTGCGGTTTAGTGGTAGAGCACTTGCTTAGCATGTGTGAGGCACAGGGTTCGATTCTCAGCACTACATATAAATAAGTGAAATAAAGGTCCATTGACAACTAAAAAAATATTTTAAAAAATCATGATAGGCTCATGGCTTAAATATGGTCTTGCTAAAGGATTAGGTTTCTGGAATAGGTAATAAATATGAAAAATTGGAGTGCATTAATTCTTTATTTGCAGTTTGTTCATTTATTCATGCTTTCAACAAATATTTATCAAGCATGAACTATATACATCATTGTAAGCAAGCAGCAAGCTTTACATAGGAAATATAAGAATGTTTAACATAGTTTCTGTCCTCAAGGAACTCACATCTTTGTTAGAGAAGAAGTAATTAAAATACTGTGTAACATAATAAGTATGTGATGGGAGGCAGAGGGTGGTTGAGGGTGCAGAAAGATTATTTTGGAAGATCACTTGATTCCCTTTTGTATAGAGTCTTGAAAGACTGCAGAGGTTGATGGGTGAGCAATGAATACTAAGGAAACTGCAAGAGGTTTAGTATGAATATGAAAGATTATAGTATAGGGTAAACCAGGCCAGATGTTGAAGAGTTTTGTCAGCTATACTGAAAAGTTCTCTCTCAGCGATAGGTAGCATTTATTCATTTTAAAATGAGTTGTCATACGTATGATGGTATTTGTGTTTTGGAGCTGGCCTGGCAGTGCGCATTTATAATCTGAGCTACTTGAGAGATTGAGGCTGGAGGATCCCAACTTTAAGGCCAGCCTCTGCAACTTAGTGAGAGCCTGTCTAAAATTTTTTTTAAAAGTGGGGGAGTGGAGGTTGGAATTCTAACTCAGTAGTAGGGCACCCCTGGGTTCAATCCCCAGTATCACCTCCTAAAAAAACTAACTGAATAAAAGATTTGTGTTTTGAAATGATCACTTTGAGGCTGGGCATGGTGGCACATATGCCTATAATCCCAGAGATCACAAGTTCCTTAGTGATTTATTGAGGCCCTGAGCAACTTAGTGAGACCCTATCTCAAAATTAGAAAAAAAAAAAAAAAAAAAAAAGGTTTGGGGCCTTAACTCAGTGGGAAAACACCCCTAGATTCAATCCCTAGTTTAAAAAAAAAAAAAAAAAGGAACAGTAAAATCACTTTGGCTATAATGTGAAGAATTGGTTAGTTGGGAGCCTAACCAGGGACATGAAGACCCTTTTAAAAGCTGTTGTTGTAACATAGGTAAGACATGATAGTAGCTGTAGAGGCAGACAAAAAAGTATGGAGAAGAAACAATAGAAATTAGTGATTAGTTGGATTTGGATAGTTAAATTTTAGATGGAAGTGCCAATTTTTCAGAAAAGGAATATAGGAAGAGGACAAGTTTGAGAGAAAACATGACTGTAGAAGTCAAATATACTCATTTGGTAAAGAGAGATTAGATAATAACCAACAAGCTCTGAACTGTTTACACCAATCATTTTTTTCCAAATTTTTTTTATTTGTAGATGATCACAATATCTTTATTTTTATTTATTTATTATTTTTTATGTGGTGCTGAGGATTGAATCCAGGGCCTCATGTGTGGGAGGCAAGCACTCTATCACCAAGCTACAACCCCAGCCCTCCGCATTTTTTTTTTTTAATTGGTGCATTATAATTCTGCTTCATGGTGGAATTTGTTGTTACATATTTGTATATGAATATAATATAGCAATAGAATTTGGCCACTGTCACTTCCCAGTACTTCCCCCATCCTGTGCCCCTTTCCTCTATTCTGTTGATTTCCCTTTGATTTTCATGAGAACCCCCCACATCTTTCTTGTTCCTCTCTAGCTTTCACATATGAGAGAAAACATGACCCTTGACTTTCTGAGTTTGGCTTATTTCACTCAACATAATGTTCTCAAGTTTTAACTAGATTTTCAACTTTTTGTGATACTTTTTTTTTTTTTTTTTAAATAGAAGGGATCCTACAGGTTGACTGCCTAGCTGCCTCCTTGTTGATAAGTTTAAATGTCACAACGTTTTGAAAAACTTAGCATAGTCCTTCAGGCAGGCTTAGTGACTTTTACCACTTTGTGTGCACACTGCTCTGTTCTTATCTCCTATGGTAAGACTGATTAAGTAGCATTGTAATTATTTGTTGATGTGTCTCTTCTGTCAGATGACTAGACTATGACTGCCTCAAAGGCAAGGATTCTGTTTTGTTCACTTTTGTATCCTCAGTGCCTGAGATTTGGATATATAGTACACGATGGCGTTAATATTGAATGAAGGATAAAATTGGAACTCAAAGTTCAGGGGTCTGGTAAAAGACATTTTGTTAGTGACAATGCAGTTCAGCAGGAGATCTTCCTTTTTTTTAAAAAAAAAAAATCTATTTTCTGAATTACATTTCTAGTATATTAAAGATATGGATGATTTAAAACATTGCAGGAAAGACCATGAAAAGATCAAGAAATGATCTCTCTGAGGATTCTAAAACTAAACTCTAACATTGAACTTTAAATAGAAGTGTAGAGTATATTTTGGGCTACAAGGATTAACTACTGATAAATATGTGACTTTTATAATTCTGTCGTCCATTTGGATGTGGCCCTTGATAGACCCCCATTGGAAACCTGGCAAAAACTTCTTTTAACATTTGAAAGAGATTTTTTTTTTTAAATAACTCTTTGGAATGGAGGTTTTAAAATCTTTTGAGCAAATTTTGTTTCAGGCATTCTGGATATCATTTCTGACTTACTGATAACTTAGAAAACCTCAGAGAAAATGACATGTGTATCACTCATAGTATTTACTTAGATATACCCTATAAGTTGTTTAATCTAGTGTCTGATTGTGACACATGTACAACATGCATCTCTGTATTACCTGGGCTGTATGACATCTCCAGTGAAGGTCTTTTATTTACTTAGGTATGAGACTTTCTGAATAGTTTACTAAGCTATAATACTTACGGTATGATTCTCTCATTCTCTTCTGCTAGCCCTAAAAGGGCTAATAGACATACATTCTTTATTAATCTAGAAGGGCTAGTACACATTTTTCATTTCTTTATTTCTCAAATTATTTCTTCCTCTTCCTTTATTTTTTTAATTTTTTGTCTTCTTCCCTCCCTTTCTTCTCTAAGCCTTTGCTGAAAGGTGATACAGGATTAACCTTTTGAAGATATGTTTTTCAAAGTTTTTTTTATCACTATAAATAAAACTCTTAATTTAGTAGCATGTGTCACAGGGTCAGTGCCAAAACAAAACCAGATTTAATAACCCATTCCCACTTTTGAAAATTTACCAGCTTGTGACTTAACAGGACACAGGGAGATTTAAGGCTGGGGAGGTGTTTACCAGGAAAGCAGCACAGAAATATTTTTAAAAATTTAAGCCTATATATATATTTTTAAAACATCAGCTTTTTAAAAACTATTTTTATTAATTGTTGATGAAATTTTTTATTTTATTTATTTGTATGTGGTACTGAGAATCGAACCCAGTGCCTCACACATACTAGGCAAGCGCTCTGCCACTGAGCCACAACCCCAGCCCCCCTATATTGTTATTAAATTTTTAGGCCCCCACCTAGTTTTATTTAATAGTCCTTTTTATCAGGCATGGTTTTTTATTTGATGTGTTACAGAAAAACGTTAAACCAGCTTTGGCATCCTTTGAGATAAATAGAATTTTGGCTTTACCTGTCCTTTGCCTTTAAGCATGATCTTATGTGAAGAAGGTATCTCACCATCAAAATGGTAAATTTAATTTTGTCTTTATTCTGAAAAGGCATTTTTATAATTCATATTCTTGAAATTCAAATAATTCATATTCTTGAAATTTGGCCACTATAAATATATGTATTATATATATCCATATACACACATATGCATATAAATCTTCATTTAAGAAAATGCTTTTTTTCCTTTTAAGCTTGGTTCTAAAATCTTAGATATAAATCTCTGAGTCTGTTTTTTTACTTGGGCAAATGCTGTGATAATTAAAGTTAAGTAATTTTAAATTGTTAGTGATTGGCAAAGTAATTCCAGATGGCTCTCTTAAATAAAGTTGTAAGATTGTTAAAAACCTGTGTTCTGTCCTTGAGACAATAGCTAACAAATGTTGAGGTTCATACTCCCAGATTACAGAGGGAAGCCTAATGGTAGAGATTTGGGGTCTGGAATACTCAGAGTATTATACCAGATATCTACAGCATATCAAGGACCTTTGGGTGATTTAGATTGAATATGGAAGTTTGCATTCTTTCTTGATTTTGTCCTGGGGGCTGATTTCTGCCTAAAACCATGTGGATTGTGTTGAACTTGGTCTAGCTGGTTCAGAGCATTTGTTACCTGTATGCCATCCCTGGTCCCCTAGACCTACAACAGGTCATAACAGTCCAAGAAGGTGAAAATGGAGAGAAAACAGAATACCTTTAAATATTCTGTATTCCTCAGGAACCTATATGAATTATCTCATGGTAAACTTAATGACTCTTTGAGACTGAAGAACTAAGAATTTATTTTGCTTATGAATTGGGTCCTTTGCCAGAGAAGAAAGGATTCAGGACAGATTTTAGGTCGCTTCATTGCTTTTTCATTTTCTTAATTCAAATTACTGATGATGTTTTTTAACAGAGTCAACAACTTTAAACAGGACTTTAATGGTCAAGAACCTTAGTGCTGACTGCAGGAGAGGCCATTCAACTTTAATAGCT